ATTGTATATTGTAGTTAATCAGAATGGAAGGATGGGACTTTCATTGGTTAGTAATATCTTTCTCTGCCCTTGTAGGAGACTAAGTTTTGTTTGTACTGCCTGAGTGGAATTTTCCTACTGACACTTCCAGAAATGCTTCAGAGGCATAGCTGAGCTATTCTGTAACTGGAAAAACTTAAAAAAAAAGAAACCAAATAGTCTTGCAGAACCTTAGAAACTAACCAAACATGTTGATAATATCATGAACTTTCGCGGGCACAACCCACTTCATCCAGAAATGGATAGAGAAGGTCTGATAGGCCCTGTCAGAATACAGATAAGTGCTAGAGAAACCTTATAGAATTTACTGCAGAATGGTTTCACTGTGTGAAGATCCTGAGCGGGGTGTCTTCACACGAACTCCTTCACAGTCTAGGTGAAGTATCAAGAGTTGAAGGTTTAGTTCAGTCACTTTTCTGATCAGGTATGAAACCAAATGTCTGAACTACTCTGAAGTCTGTGTATTACCTCTAAAGGTGAGGTTTAAGAAAGCTCCCTATGTGGATTGATTTAAATCAAGGTGATTTAAATCAGCAATTTAAATCATGATGTAAATCACCAAGTGGAAAACCTTAATTTAAATTATCAGTTTTAATCAGCTTCTCCATTTGCAATTCAGTTATTTTCTAAAGAAAGATGCAGTCTGATTGGTTGATATAACTTTAAAACATTGATTTATAACTAAACAAAGTGGTTACCCAATATTTGGTACATCTTTTTGCTTTTTAGAAGTATATACACTTTCATTTACATAATGACATAGCTTAATGTTTTTCTGATTCTTATTAATTGTACTTGTTAGTATGTTAGGGTACGTCTACGCAGCAGGGCAAAAGTCAAATTAAGCTACGCAACTTTAACTATGTCAATTGAGCAGCTAAAGTCAAAATAGCTTAATTTGGCTTTTGGAGCTGTCTACACAGCAGGAAGTCGAAGGAAGAACACTGTTCCTTCGACTTCCCTTACTCCTCGTGAGATGACGGTTACCAGGAGCTGGAGTAAGAAGTCCTCCAGCTTGACATTATTTTCAAATAATGACTTGTAATGTAGAAATAACCCTGCTGTGTAGACATACACTCAGAAAATAATGACCAACATATTGATTATTTGAAAGATAATTAATTTTTTGCTAATGATTTGTGTCAAGCTGCATTAGGAATATAACTGCAATTTAATTAAGTACACAAAACAGCATATACAATTTATTTTTATTAAGCAAAACAAATTTAAATATTTTACATAACCTCTTATCTAAACATATTTCACAATCATAAGTAAATGTTTTTTAAGGTATAAGTCAGTTGAATTAAACTGATTATTTGAGTTCAGAGTAGTAAAATGTTCAAATAAGGCTAATTGAAAATGACTAGACCCAAGTTCCTAGTGTAAGTTTCTTGTAACAAAGACAGTCTCCTAAAATACTTAGGTTGATCTACTATGGCTATAAAGTTTGACCTCATCTGCTCTACTTTTCCTTTGTTTCTGTAAATAGGAAAGCAACCTTTAATTCATTTTTATAGAGGCTCGTGGATTCAGCCTGTTTATTCTTCATTTAATTTTTTTTAAAACTATAGGTTTAGGTCTTAACATATTTTGCATTAACTTCAGATTTAATTTAAAACAGATTTTTTTAAAAGAGAAAATGTCTTATAATTTAACGTAAAATGTATCTTTGTAAATCATGAATTTTAACAACCCAAAAGCTCCTAGAAGAGTTAGATCCTTAGCAAACTGGGAACTGGAGACTTATCTCTTGAGATGATCAGGAATTTTCTGCTAAAACCCAAGTTTTTACCAGTGTGATAGGTTGGACCACAGAGATCCCGTTGGGGCTATAACTCAGTGTGCTGATCACACCACTGAGCCCACCTAGCTGACCTCTGGGACTCCCCATTTCCCTGTCTTGCTGGACTAGAAGCTGTGGTCTCCCCAAGCAAAGGCACAGCCCTTCAGCAGAGTAACACAGACACTAAAACAGCTGAGTCCTGGGAGGGCTCAGTTACCAGGACTTGACAGCACCCAGGAACACAACCTGAAAAAGGGACCAAAACCCTAAATTAATCCATCTTGCTCTGTTTAAACATTTTACACTGTGAAAGCTCATAATGTTCACTTTCTTTATCAACGAAAGAGAGATATATTCAGATGTGGCTCTCCCCTCACCCTGCCCCAGTAGCAATTATTTACATTGCGTTTGACAACAAACAGAAGCATTTTATTGGTATAAAAAACAGGATGTAAGTGATTTCAAGTGAAAACAGACAAATCAAAGCAAATTATTAATCTAAAATAAACAAAACACACCTGCTAATTATAAAGACTAAGGCAGTATCCTGGAAAAGCTCTGCTACATCCAAGGAACATGTCTGCTTTTTCTAAACAGTTTACAAAAAAGCGGACGTGCTCTTTTGGCATCCCTGTATTTCTCTCAGAGAGAGGAACAAGGGATGTTCTGAAAGAGGACTTTTTTCTGTAATTTGGCCCTGTGGTGATGGGCCAAATTTCAGAAAAGCCTCTTTCAGAAACAAAGTGGAAAAAGATATGCAAATTGTGGTTTGCAATTTGCTTATCTTTTTCTGACTTTTCTTGGCAGATTAGACATAGCCTAAGAGAGATTATAGATCGTAATTCTCACCTTAGTTCTTATTATAGAGGTAAAAATCTCCAAGACAGAGATGAACTTTTCTCTGGTCTGGGTCTAGCAGCTCCTTGAGGCCTAAGTGTTCTTTGTTTCCTGGTTTCTTTATGTGTATCCTCTTAGGGTGGGAAAGCCATTTCAAATGCCAGCTGAAGACAATGCTGATTGCTTCCAATTCCTTAAATAGAATTTCCCCAGGGTAGGAATCCTTTGTTTTCTCTTCCTATCCCCATGGAAAAATATCGGATTCAAGATGGATTCCAGCATGATGTGGCATGGTCACTTGTCTTTGTAGAATCATCAAAGTTTGGGATTACAGGAAACATAAAGTCATTTACAGGTTGTTACCTTGAGCACTGGGCCATTAAGCCTGTAAGCAGCACTAATGGCTCTCACTGAACATTCTAGATTAATAAGTAGGCTTACATTCATATACAAGATGGATACATTCATGAAAAGAGAATGTACACATTCTGGAAATCACAAGCTCTTGAATGATAGGTTACTTGTTCCATTTTTCATAAAGCATATTTGAATTATGCATATTATTATTCAAAACTATATTTCCATAAAAATATGAGGCAAAGTGTCACAATCAGAAAACACCAATTCATTCAACCTCTCCCAGCAAGCTACCCCAGAATCATGGACACAGACTGCCAGGGTCAGTGGCACTGGGGTCAGGGCATCTAAGTGCCTGCAAAGGACCTAAGAAAGCCTGGGGACACTGAAGGCTTCCAGGCTCACTGCTTTGAAGCTAGGAGTCTGGAAACCCTGAGCACCTGGACTTTGGCTTGGGCTCAGTGCCTGATTCTGCAACTGGGAGCTTATTGGTCCCAGGCATCCTGCCATAAACTTTGGAAATTGGATGTACTGGTATGGGATTCCAAGGTAAACTGTTCTGGGCAGCTTATCACCGGTATTGCCCCAGGGATGAATTCCACCAGGCATTAAGACACTTGGGCCAGCTACTTCCTGTTGCTGCCTGTTCTGAAATGGAATGAAACCAGATAATTGACATATCTTTTTTTCCCCACAAACTGCCAAACCATGTTTTGGGCAGCTCTATTTTTTCCCATATGTGTTTTGAATCCCTACCTGAGTCACAGCTTAGTCACAGCTAAGTCTCTGCTTCTAGGCTCTGCAGTAGATCCCTTTAAATGTCACTGAATTGGAGTGAGAGAAAAGACAAACAGCTGACAAATTTCAAATTGCCTTTTTGAGCCTGTGACCTGTTGTCAGGAAGGAGAATAAAACACAAACAATGAACAAGTACAGTACCTCAAGTTATATTTGTTCAAAGAGTGATTTCACTCAAGCAGGTGTATTGCCTTACTAGTTGTAGGAAACAATGTAAGCTCATATTTTTAATTAAATGATTATAGCAAAAATGTATGAAACACTTAACTCAGAATATCCTTCACATTAAAGGTGAGCTTTGGTGTAATAAAAGTTGTTTTTCAATTAGGTTGGTTTCTAATAATTTCTACATTAAGTAAGTATGTAAATGCAATTTTCTTTCAAGTAGAGGTATTGTATCTACAGATAGCATAGGAAAATTGATGCATTATAGAATTTCAGCACATCATTTATACATGTCGAAATGTAATAGCATGGGATGCATCACCATAAATCATTTCTTTCATTATTTAAAACATTGCAAAGGTCACCTCCAAATTTAGAACAACACTAGCTATATTGGTTTTATTAGGTAACTGATCAAACTAATCATCAAGTGACTGACATTCATTCTTTGTTTCTTTTATGTGAAGACTTGTATTAACTTTGTAACAAAAACAAACTATGTGCAAAGAAGAATTCTGAGCTAAAGGAGTTCATGAAATAATACCCTGAATACAAAGCTATTAAAGAAGGAATAGAAAGTTACAATAAATTAAACAGAAGTCTTGCAAGAGAGGGTGACTGTAGAATTTTAAAATTTTGTGGAACTCATTTATCATTTACAAAAATACATTGACTCATGGAAAACTGGAGTATGAAAGATCAGATTGAAGACTGTATACAGTTCTTAAAACATAGACTCGCGATGCACTACCAAACAAATTGCATTGCATATACAGTGCTACTAAGTCAGACAACCACAAACACTAGTGTCAACAGCCATAATGTGTTGTTATTTGATCAATAATGTACAAGTGACATTTTAAAAGGCTATAGACACTTTAATGAACTATTATCACTTATTATTATTGCCAATTATCACAAACTAAAGTTCATATTGGATAGTCTTTATGTATTGTTTCATTTAGAGCAAATACTTTTTTTTCCCTCTGGGAATATTCATACGGAGTAAAATTCATTGCTGTGTGGACGGCCATCCCAAAAACTTTGCAAACTCTGAGTCTTCAGAGTAGGGCTAAGTGGGAGTTAAGTGATGCAAAATGCTTGTACTAGCCCTTTGTTCAGAGGGATGAGTTTCAATAGCTGTGCATCATATGAAGAGAAAACCTTTGAGCCTGATCCTGAGCAGCTTTACACTACCTAAGCAGAGAGAAGCAGCCATAAAAGTTCTGCACAGGGACTACTGAACACTTCTCCAAGAGGGGGAACCGATGGGTGGCACTGAGCTGGCGCTATGCCATCTATATTCATTTCTCTCCCTTCTGCAGAAGTGACATGTGAGGTGTGGGGCAAAACAGAGTATATGTGCACAGCTCTCTGCACATAGGGTACATCTACACTGTGGCACTATTTCAGGACTTCCGATATCCCAAAATAGCTATTGTGCATCTTTTAAGTAAGCCAGTTATTTCAAAATATAATGGGCTTACTATGACGATGTCCCTGTAAACCTCATTCCACAAGGATTAAGGGACGTTTTGGAATAGCGATCTATTTTGAAATTTGGTGCTGTGTAGACAGCACCAAATTATGAAATAAGTTATTTTGAAATTGACTAGGAATAAGCTACACAATTTGCATAGCTTATTTCGAGCTAAGCGTGTAATGTAGACGCACTCTATGTGGCCACTGCAGCTGGTATTATAAGCAGTTTGGCTGGAGAAGATTTTTGGGATGGGGAGTGGAAAGATGGTTAAAGTTACCACTCTCCTCAAAGGCTGGTTTAAAATGGGGGAAGGAAGGTTGATCAGGTTTCAGGATTACAAGACTGAGTCTAATCTTGGCACAACTGTGGATCTAGCTCTTTTTTATGTATGATTTTACTTAAATGCCTGCCTCCTGACATTTATCAAAATAAAACCATGAGGAGAAATTGCAATAGTTTTAAGCCTTTTACGTAAGTATATAAACCAACAAAAGTAGAACAGAAGTAATACATCCCCAAGAGGAATTTTCTCTGCGTATTGTATGTATAATGAATGAGAATCCTTATTTTGCCTGGAAAACCTGAAGGAGCCCAATTCTACTTATGCAGTTGGCAAAATAAACATGTTTTCATCTTGAATTACAATTATTTTGCCTTCTAAGCAACTTTTAAGTATACATAAATCAGGTGACACTGCATGGATCTGGTCTGCTTTCCCTTCAATATGGAAGGAAAAGGTTAGAGCCTTCCCCAGTGAGAATGATTATGAATTGAAAGCTATGAATGACTCTATTAAGTACTTATTACTTTTTTATCTAAGACAGTGTAATGCTAATGAAAGGTTAATGTTATGGTGGATGAATGTAAGAGTCAAATGGGTTTTTAGAGTGATAATAATCCAAATGAAGGCAGAGACATTTTATAATCTGAAGTCACCTGTGGGCACATGTCAATGCCATGTACTTTATGAAGGGAAGGGAAATTAAAGATAGAATGACAAAAAGTATAGCAAAGCTGGTATCATGACTTTTTGATGGGGAGGGATGGTTATGATGGATTAAAGCTCCTCCAAAAGGAACTCCCTTATTAAAAACGTAGCTAGTCATGAGGAAAGGCTAGTCATCATGAAAAGAACTTTTAAACAAAAGTTGATAGCATTTTCAGGAAAATTCCAGAAAATATGATAAATGGACTAGTTATAAAACTAGTAGAATGAAATAGTCTCTTTTTTAATTGAGTAATTTTAACATATAAGAAATAATTAAGAATGACATATCTTGATTTAAGGCTGTTGTGGGGTGGAAAAACTAGTACATCCCTACCGACTAGTTAAAATGCACTGTTAAACATTTGCACCTCATTTTTAGCCACTTTTTTTTTCTAGATTCAGCTTCCAAGCTTTAGATCTAGTTATGACTTTGTCTGAAAGATTGAAGAGATTTCTAATGTCACAATTTGTCTCCTGATATAGGTACTTAAGCACTATGATAAAGTCACTTAACTTTTTCCCAGAGAAATCAAATAGATTAAACTTCTTTAGTCTCTCACTGTATAAGTAACATCTCCAGACCTCTAGCAGCTCTTTTTCTGGACCCTTTTCAATTGTTCAACATTCTTTGTAAATTGTTGACATCCAAAATGGACACAATATTCAAGTAATAATCTCACCAATGCCATACACAGTAGTAATAATGCCTGGTTGTGCTGACCAGCTTCTGCCAGTGCAAGTCTGACATTTCAGGATATTCTTCCTCCTCTGCCTTCTGCTCCTCCTGGTCTCCATCATGAAATCTGTGAGGTTCTTTTGGTGGTTCAGAAAGCACCACTGAAATGCCCACCACCACCTTATGGATAATTTACCCATTTTCTGACACAGGAATGAAAGTACAAGAGCAGTTCTTTAAAAGAATCTTCCTCCATGTTTATGGCTCCAGTAGCTTGTAAAGCAGAGAACAACAATTATCCTATTCAGGCTTCATTGATGGGCTGTTCAAACTGCCTGTAACATGCAGTAAAGTTTCCCACAGAGCACCACAATTAAAGGTCTAAGAATGTCCATGTCTTGGGCAGGTGATAGTGACTCTGGTGATATGAATGATTTGACTAGGATCTATGCATTACGTGTGGATGCCAGAACCCCAGGTTTCAGCCTAGGTTAGAAAAGTTTAAATGTTGGATTAAGAATCAGCGCAGACACTCAGTTCCAGGATTCTCTAACACGGGTCAGCTGACTCAAGTCCCATTAATCTTGGGTTTATGTTGCATCCTTTTTTACTTTGATTGCATTTAACATGGGTATCCATCTTCAGAGATCCTATTGCGGAAATGAGCTTTAGATTATAAATTCTTCCAGCGAGTGACCTGTATGTGTTTTGTGACTTACCTAGCAGTTGATGTAAGGTAAGTTCGTTCATTTTATGAAAATCCATGCAGTTTTATGGATAATGGTTAATTTGGTGATTCAGCAATAAGACAAACCAGCTCCCTTAAAAAAGAAATGGCTTTTGTGGCTGGTTGGATGTCCTCTGAAGGGAAATAGATTTCAGATTGATTCTTTTACACAGGAAGTTATTCAACTGTTAAGTGAAAATTCAGGGCATCCTAATATATTTCAGAATCAGGTACGTTAGTGGGGGGGTCCAGGAATTTTAAAAGGAAAATGGTTCTACTAATGAGTTTTTAAATCAGTTGCAGAAATAGACATTATCCGTAGTACTTGAAGTCACTGGAAATTTATTACATTCATATAGCATTCAGAACAAGTAGCCAGATTAAATGAGTTTCCTCCTTCCCTCTGTGATAGAGCTACGTAGCTGATAGGATTGTCTGAAAGGGGAGTGATACACAACAGAAGTCATCAATTCCTAAAATAATTTAATTATTCTTTAATTATAAAGAAGTACAGGGGGCTGATCTTTCCAGTTTTTTCATTAGAATTTGTAAGGATACCATAAGAAGTTTGTTCCTGAGTATTATCACTGCAGACATTTTGTGCTCCAGCTAGGTTTGTTACATGCCACCTCACTGTAGCCAGACATAAAGCCCCATTTTAACATCCATCTTTGTCTGCTTAAAACCATGCAGGGCACATAAGAGCTGGAAAACAGCATATTCTTTGAAAACCTTGGAGCAGGAGGTTTAGATATGCTGGCTCAGTGACCGTGACCAACTGTAAGCAGAGATAGGAGGGTGGTCGAACTAATTGTTGACCAAGAGGCTGTACATCGTGCCCTTGACTGAAACCCATATTGATACGAACACATACCCGTCCACGGGGGAAGGAATCTCCCGCCCAACAAGAACATCCGGCAGTCCTAATTTAGTTATCTTCCTCTCTTACAAGTGTAAATTAACTTGTAACCTGCTTGTAAGAACTGGCACCACAAAACGGACCAGTAAAATTTGGCCTCTTAAGATAAGAAAGAGAATACTCAATCTACCATCTATCTGCTGGTCGGGTTAGGTGTTTGATCTCCCGAGGTTCCAAGGGGACGCCCACCTCGTATTCGTCTTTCCTAGGAATTGAGGGACCGGCCCTGGCCTGACACGCTGGAGTCGAGAGGCACAGAAAGGGGTAAAAATTGTACCTGGATGTGGTCCTTTGTTTAAGTATATATATACATAGACTTAGAGCTCTTTAAAGATTAAGCTGTCACTTGGTACCATTATTTCTATTTTCTATCTTTATTTTCTTTGTAACCATTTTTAAAATCTGTATTTGTTAGCATTTAAGAAATAGAGCAATAGCCATTGTAACCATATGCTTTTATAAGTCTTTTAATAAACCTGTAACTGTTTAAGCTTTAACCTGACTCCTTCAGTTGCTGTAACAGAACCAAGCACAATTTAAAAGAACTTCAGCCGGTCATAAAGGGACAGACATAGGGAGAGCTTGGGCGTTTGGATCTGTGTCACTCCCAGGTGACAAGATCCGTTGGGGCACCTTTCCAGCCTTTCCCAGGCTGCCCGCTGCGAAGGAACTTTTGTGTTCTAGCAGTTAAAATCTAAGGTGTAATAAGCTCTTCCTACACACTGGGGCGTCTGTTAGCCTGTTTGGCTACCCTCTGCGACGGGACCTTAGTCCTAGCAGTAAAGTCACGGACGTTAAACACTCAGGGCTCCTTTCAGCCTCTGGGCTGCCCGCTGCGACGAGACTTCGTGTCTTAGCAGTTAAAGACTTAGGAGACATACCCACACACACTGCCCTGACCGTCGGCTGACACTCACAAGGTACAAAGAAGGACATAACCCTTTGTTTCAGCATTTTTAAGGACTCCACTTATTCTCCTGCCCCATGAAATTTCAAGGAACCAGTTGGCAGCAATAAACAGTACAAGAAGTCTTCTTATGAGAGGAAGTTGCAAATTTCCAACAAGTTCCATTACCTCTAACTTGAGATAATTTCAGTGTTAGACAATTTATGTTAAAAAATCCATGACTCATATTAAAATTCATACTTAAGATACATAAGAATCTCCTCAGATCTTTAAACTTGTTTCTCATTTTTGGTCATCAGAAACTCATTTGGCCTCATTTGGACAGTGGCCCTTGAAATTGTGCAACTTCCAGAAGAGGACCCCTCATACATGCTTTTGGAGAGGCAGGGGTAGAACCATAAGGCTCCTTTTTCACTTTATGTCTATTTTTCTTCCTTGTTCTTTCATCTAATTTTACTAGCTTTTGCATTTAGTTGTTCATCTCTTTCCTTTTTGGGCATGTGGCTTCTGATGGTACAAATGATGATTAAGATTTTGGGTAAATAGTACCATGGCAGCATAATTTGGTGACATCAACCACGTAAATCCTTCACGAAGTTGTTAAAGAGGCCTGTCTATATCCAGATGGCATGATATTTGTTCTTGACATCCACTGCACCAGGAGAGGTGGCTTAAGAAGCCCACACAGTAAAGATGTGAGTTAAATGGCCTGTGACTATAATGTGTCCTGTTGTAATAAAGAAAGATCTTTCAGTTGATATGGTTGTTCTGAAGAGCACTCAGGAGCTGATCTGTTGCTATTAGGGGACATAGATCTAAGTTGTCTATCTGGCCATAAGTGTGTCACTGATCCAAAATACAGGCCTGTATCACTGATTGCCTTTCTCCTTAAAAGGTTGTAGCTGATGTCCTGTCTAAGAGACTTAGTGACTTCAGAAAAAAGGGTGTCTTGACATTAGCTGGCATTTTTAATATGGCTTTGAGATGGAATTGTGAATAAGCTGTCTTGACAGTTGACTGCCTTCCATAATGTGTCCAGGGTTTTGCTTAATCCCTGAGGGAGAAATACCAGCCAGGACCAGAAGGATGGAGACTGATGCAGCTGAGAATCTGGTGCCTTAAGATTAGTTATTTGACAGAGTTTTAATTTAGTACAGCAGCATGCTGTGGTTTTATTTTATTGTTGTTTTGTTTTTTGTTTTTTTTTAATTCTGACAGTTCCCTAAGGGGACAAAGAAAGCAGAAAGGCAGATGTGGCAGGAGAAAGTGAAACCATGTACGTTTAACTCTGCTCTCATATAAATACAACACTGAAATGTTATATTGTCATTATAATGAATCATTATAATTCTGGCCCAGCTCACTGATGGAAATAGTCTTTTGTTCTTTTGAAGAACATAGGTTACTTGCAGGACACTTGTTTTCATTTTCCTTTATCTGTTTGAACTTCTGATTGCCACATATTTTAGATTTTCAATATTTGAGAATGCAGCAGGTGTCATTCTGTTCAATATAAAAAGCCCCTAAGGCTACTTCCTTCCATTAGAGAAATACACAAGTCATTTCCAGCCAGAGTGCCAATAAGTAAGTGTGTGCATAGCAGCTGGAAGCAACATGGTCTATGGAGTTTCACTGAATCTCAGCACTTAACCAGGATGCCATATATAAGACTCAAATGGAAATAAAGAGCGAAACAGGGAGGTTAATGAAGGATAGAGTTGTAGGTTACTGTATTTATGACAGAGTATGGCATTCACTGTACACTGAAAAGGCCTCTATGAATATGTCTACACTACAAAATTATTTCAAAAGAACTAAAATCAACATAACTCCCAATTTAACAAAATTGAAATAGCATGTCCCCACTATGGGGAAGCATAGAAATTAGTTAGAATTATTCTGAAATAGCACGTCTACACTGATTGAAGCCTGTCTCAGATTTAGAACCCCTGGAAGCACTCTGGGGAGGGTACCAGGAGGGTGAATACTTCCTGTGGCTGCTTGGTGACACATGCTTTCACAGGTCTTATGGCTGTGCCTCACACGCCACTCCTCCACTGCCTCCCCCCCTTGTGGGACACAAAGGGGACTCAATGGGCACTGGTCTCATGCTCTGGTTGCCCTTGCAGATGCCACAGCACTCATATCATGGAGCCAGAGCTGCTGCAAAGCAGGGCTAGATTCATGGTCTTCATGCTGGACCTCATGGTGCAGTTTGCCTACACTGCCCACATGTTGCTCCAGCTGGACATGGACAAAGACCTGCAGGATGAACACCAGCATGGTCCACAGGCCCTGATCACCCAGGTTTTAGCACTTAGTGCTTCTGCTGCTGCACATGCAGCAATGGGAGTTGGCTGGTGGCTCATTCCTTGCACAACACTGTGCGCTCCACCACAGTAGTGAAGGGAGAAGCACATGGCATCATGTTGGCTCTCCATATGGTTCCAGGCAGCCTTTCTTTGTTCCTAGTCATCCTGACATTCCTGATGTTCCTCGTCAGCCCAGCATTCCTCCTGGTGAGCGGACCACTCCTGGTGCTCTTCCTCAAGCCACCAGACCAGGGACTGCAGGCAGGCCAGCTGTTCCAACCTCAGGTCCTCCTGGGTGCGTTTTCTCCTGAGGATTCTGCAGAGTTGGGTAGATGGCATGGGAGGTAGAGGAATACACCAAGGATCACAACTGGCCCAGCTGTGAAGAAAAGTTACAAGGGCAGTCATCCTAGGAGGCACTTTGTATGAAGCCTAGCCCTAATCTCTGAGCTGACATGGAAGGTCTCAGTTCAGATGATGGTGATGTGCTTTGAGCAAGGCCATAACACTGCCTAACACTGCTGAGGCCTCAACTGGAGTACAGTGTCCCGTTTTAGGTGCCACACTTTAAAAAATGTGAACAAATTGGAACAAATTTAGAGGAAAGGAACAAAAATTATATTTAGAAACGTTGTTTGAACTGGGGGTGTTCAGTCTAGATAAGAGAAGGTTGAGGGGAGACACGATAATAGTATTTGAATATTGAAAGGCTGTTATAAACAGAACGGTGATAATTTGTTATCTGTGTCCATCGAAAGTAGGATAAGTAGTAATTTGCTTACTTTGCAGCAAAGGAGACTTAGGTTGGATAATAAGGAAAATTATAAGTGTAGTTAAGCAGTGGAATATCTTTACCTAGGGACATTGTGAAATCTCCATCATTTTAAGGCTTTTAAGAAAAGTTACACAAGTGTTTGTCAGTGCTGGTCTAGGGAAACTTAATGCTGATTTAGCATGGGGAAGGGATGAGTTAGGTAACTTCTTGAGTTTCTTTCCACCCTTTTATTATAGCAGTGCCAAAAGCAGTATTTTTGATCCTTATTCCAATAACATCAGTTTGTCTGCAGTTTTTAAAAACTGTTTATTGTAATATAGCAGGAAGCTTATTTTATAATATCGGGTACTAAGATGCCTTCCTTAAAAGCTTGTAGGAGGTAAGCTAATCAATTAATCAATCACATAAGCCTCTGCTCAAGGCAGACGGCTGCTTCTCTGTGAAAGCAGAAAGTTAGATGTATGAATGTTTGAAAAGAAAGGATTTCAACATTTTTTTTAAAGTCTTAGATTCAATTCTTTTTTTAAATGTCCACACAACTGAAGTTTAATATTCCACTGGGAATTAACTACCAACTACATCTTTTGAAGAAGACAATACAAGGTTCTTCACAACTTTGTTTACCTCATGATCTCTAAATTTGAAAAAGAAAAAGAAAATGATAGAATTAACAGACCCCCCCCCTTGCCTACATAAAGGGCTCAGTTTCCCAGTAGCATAAGAAGGTGAAACTGTCGACTTTATTCGAGTTCTACCAGCTTATGCCAGTGGTGAATTTAGTCCTACTAAAATCTTCAGTT